AGGCGGTACGACTGCGCGCCGGCGTAATTCGCTCCGGCTGGATGTGCGCCTCCAGCAAGGCGCCGACGGATAATGAACGCACCAGCGGCGACACGCCTCCGGAGAAGGGCGGGTTAGGAAAAGACAACAGGGCCGACGTATACCCTGCAGCGGACTCGAGTCCGGAAGGTGGCGGCGGCGGGAGAATTCAACGTTTAAGCATGCGAATGCGCGCAATGCGGAGACGTGAATTCGCGCATGCAAAGGGCGAACCGTTAAGCCGTATAGCCGGCTGCGTACGTTGCAACCAGTAAGAACGTTGGACGTTCTTGAAATCGGAGAAGAAAAGACTGCGCTCCAGTCTCATTCTCTCATTCTTGACTTTGCGATTTCCAGTTCCAAGATTACGCGCAAGGGCGGAGCGACCTGCAGTGAGAGTAGAGAGTGCGGAGACGAGTTGCGCAAGGATCTTGGCGGACCTTGAAAGAATTGTGAGTAGCGATCTTGAACGAGCGCAGAGAGAGTGAGCAGTCAGTGCTTGAGTGGCCGACGCACAGTGGCGATTGTGAGAGAGCGAGCGAAAGGGAGAACGTTTGTGTGTGTGCAGGCAACGCAATGTCGAAGGTTCCCCAGCTGCGAGTGTCTCCACTCAGGGTGCCGCAGATCGGTCTACGCGCATTTCAAGATGTGCTGTTGAGGTTGAAGCTCGATTTTCTCCTATGGGGGTGGAATTGGACATGTCCGGAGATGGTGCGCGAGTATCTGCAGGAGAGACACAAGCCTTCTCGCGGATTTCGCCCACACCCAGAGAGATGGGACATTTGCAATTGGGCGCAGGTGTTGGGCAGGTGTGCCGGCGAGGAAGGGGATCTCCTCTTCGAGGCCGATAGCGTGAAGGTGTCCCAGGAGGAAGAAGTCTCTTACAATGAGCTCTTCAAAGTGGCCAGACATCCCAAGAACGGTTTCCGGACACGGGATTACAAGGATCGATTGCGGAGAAATGTCGCGACGGCATTGCTGCAGATATTGCAGCCGACCAAGACCGCTTACATGCATGGTTGGCAGGTAGAGTTCGTGGAGCTAGTGCTGTCAGGAGCTCCGGTGCATTGGGCACGGCTCCTGTGGAAGGTGACGCGCCAACATGCGCAAGAAGAGAAGGGAGGAACCCTCAATCATCTATCGCCTTACTTAATCGTGTTTTACCGGGCGATGGGATGTTTGACAAATGCTGAGAAAACTCGATTTCCGCAGCTGACCCGGACTTATCCAGGAAGATATTCGAGGGAGGCCGAAGTAGACACAGATCCGGACGAGGAACCTGCCAGTACGCCTCCGGCTCCGGCCCCAGCAAGAGCAGCAGAAGAACGTCGAAGCGAGCTCATTCCGCGAAAGCGAAAGTGGGATGAGAGACCTGAGGACAGGCAGCCGGAAGTGCCAGCTGCGCCGACTCGTGGTCGGCCCACCCCCGAGCCTCACAGTCGACCAAAACAGAGGGCACGCAAAATGCCAACTGTTACTGAGGAGACCAGGCGAACTCCGACCCGGCGGAATCTCACACAGGAAGAGATAATCGCTCAGATTCTAGGGAAGACGGCAGATACCTCTGCACAGAAGGCACCACGGCCTTCGGGAGGAGATGGACGGACTGACAGCCGGCCGACTGCGAGTCGGATGACTGAAGGTCGACAAGCGGAAGGAAGGCCAACTGAACGGCGCGTTGAACCGGACAGCAGGCCGGAAGCAGAAGAGAGTTTGGCTGACGAGCCAACAATCCTCAAAGGGTCGTCTTCGGCGGAAGGCACTTCTGGAAGAACGCCCCCAACAAGCAGGCCAAGTGGAGTCAAGACGCGCAGGGTGTATCCGACTTCCAGTCGGACAACTGCTGGTCGGCTGACTGCGAGTCGGACAACAGAGAGTCAGCCGGATTCGCCGACTGCGAGACGGATGGGGCCAACGACCAGTGTGCGGACGCCTTCGGCGGACGCACCTTCAGCAAGGACACCTTCCGCGCAGATTGCGCCGGAAGGACAGGCAGCAGAAGCGGGCGGTGCAAGAGTGACAAAAGTCACTGCGGCGTCGACCCCTTCACAAACCGAAGATCGAGCCGGAACAGGGGCTCAAGCAGTGGGATCTCCCACTGCCCTGGATATTTTAGCAGGCAGTGGAGCAGCAGTCGCAGCAGAAGCTGCTGCGCGCCACAGTTCCAGGGAGTCGCCAAGGGATTCGGTGGCGACTGAAATCCTCGAGACTGAGGATGATACGAGCTCGGAAGAGCAGGAAGCGGATTCGGTGCAGAAAACGCCAACAGGGGTGCTGTGCGAACAGATAGTTCCACTCCTGCGATATCTGGATCGCAAGACATCCAAATACGGAAGTGCCTTAAAACCGCAGTCTTATGTGGAGACTATCAGGCGAAGGACGAGGATCAAGGTGGCAAAGTGGGCCTCTAGTTGCCAAGTATATGTGGAAAGGAACACCGCCCTCCAACAACACCTGGCGGTCACCCAGAAGCTATACCAAGCCTTGCAGCAGCAGAAGGAGGATGCGGCGACGAAAAGTCAGGCGGATGCCGAACTAATACGGGCAAAGATCGAGTTGGAACTGCAGGAGGAGCGGAGACAGAACAAAGTCCTAGCAGCCGAGCTTGCGCGCCAGACGCGCGCCTTAGAAGAAAGTCAAAGAGCCCGCAAGGAGGATGAGGAGTTGTTGTGCAACTTGCAATCCGAGTGCTCGGATTTGAGGGCACAACGTGCGGGATTAGAAATGCAGCTGGCCGAGGTGGAGAGCAGCTGCAGGGCGCGAGGAGAGTTGGCGGCACAGGTGACTCGTTGTCTAAAAGGATACACCCATTGGGAGGTGGCAGCCCAAGAGAGGATCACACTCAGGGAGTTCGAGCTTCGGGCGGCGGCATTGACGGAAGGTGACAGTCGGAGTCGGCGGCGAGTGGCGAGAAAATTAGAAACCTTCTTGTCGGGTGCGCGCGACACTATGGCGCACTTGCAGTCGGAAGTCACCACAGCGCTCCGACGCCTGGGGTTACGCAGCCGGTCGGAAGACTGGCCAGGTAGAGATAGTACGCGGAGCAGTCCGGCGCGCAGGAGGCGCAGCACCGGATCTGCTGAGTGCAGTAGAGTAGTTTGGTTTCGCGCAGATACTGCGAGTGGTAGATAGGATAGCGTAGTGCTAGTTAGGATCTTTTGAGGGTATAAAGTAGATCAAGGCGTTTTGCCTTGGGACTCTTCCAGTTTCGGAAGTGCAGATCAGGAACTCACTTTCTTGGCGTGTTTGTGCATTTTGGTCCTGGCACCACGTAGAGAAGCTGCAGCATAGCAAAGTTACCGTATGTTGTAGTTGAAGGCCTTCGGCTGAATGTTCAGAGCTAGTACCCGGTTAGAGACTTGAGTAGTGCGGATCTGCACCTGCGGGTGATTTCTGATGCTCAGAGCCGGCTGCGAGTTAGATACTTGAACAGTTCCCCCTTACTCCTTCGAGTGACATATCCTGATTGTACTCCTACGGGAAGTTTCCCCTGAATGCCAATGTGAAGTTTCATTACTTCGTGTAAACCTTGGTTTGTAATTCAGGTTGTGTGTGTGTTACTGGATCGTGTTTTCAGTAAGTTCTCAGTCGGGTCTGCACTCCCTGCGTTTTGTGTGATAGTCGAGGGTGACGTCCACGGCGTACGTAGAGGCTTCGTTCCGAAGTGGGAAGTCCAGTCCGGGTACCCCCGCTAGTTCCTGGCGGAAGGGCAGTAAAAGCCGGAGTGGGAGGCACTACCTGCAGAACCTCTGAGTGAACTTGTGAGACACTTTCCTCCTGAAATCCGAAGCGGAGGTCCTGACCGACCTCCGAGTTGTGCTTTTTGCCAGTTTCAGGTGTGTGTGTGTGTGTGTGTGTGTTGAGTGACCACGCTGTACCGTGCATCCTCCGAGCATCCTCCGAGTTGAGATCCTCCTCCGAGTCGAGCCTCCGAGTCGAGCACTGCAGTATTTCTGGGAGTGACAGTCGCCTAGAATTCAAACTCTACAAAAGTCTGTTAAATGTGACACTTTTACTCTGTGTGTTGCCTCTGTCCCTGTGGGTTCGATCTTTTTACCACCATACTGCAGTTTTAGCCTTTGGTGGGTTATTACAATGAACAAAGTAAAAAGTTACACTCAATGTTGATATAATGTAAATCATATTTATTTTTTTATCATTTTCGAATAATACAACTTGCCAAGACATACACAATTATTTTTTTATGATTTTAATAAAAAAAAGGATAGAAAATTAAGATAAAATTAGGACAATTAGCGAACCTGGGTACTCGAAATAATCTTAGCTATATAGTTTCCGAATTGACCCGCTGTAACAATAGTTAGATGTAGATCATTTGTAGAAAAAGAGAATTTTCAAATCTATTTACTCACCATATTCAAAAAATTATCTGAGATTATTCACATATGGATTCAGCATATTTACCTTTATATCGATTAAGTTACTCAATCAACAAATCAATATAACAGATATATCTTTACTCTTCTGCATATCGAACACGGTTCATTATACCGAATAACATAGATCTTGAATACAAATCATCGCAACTCACCCTATAGAGCTGACACAACTATTTGCTCTTACTAACCTGTAGCTGTGATTGTCATACAAACATCGAAATGATAAATCATGTAATTTACTCTCAGTACTTGAAAAGAGAGAGAGGGAGGGCCTCTGGAGGGACGACACTCAGATCGAAAGGCAGACAACGTACTTCTGTCCTAGCAACGTCGCGGCTCGAAAGCGAACGACATTCGCCATGCTCGAGATTTGGAATCGGGTCCGCTTTCGAGCCACGACCTCGCCTCGCACCGGCCGTCTGCTGAAGTTCAGGCTCACTTCGCCCTCTTTGCAGTTGACTCACTCGTTTGCTGTTCCGAATTGAGGTCACAAGTTTGTAGAATATGATTGATGCCTGCTGCTAGTTGACGACTAACGTAAGGCTGACATCGGTTTTAATCGTGATGGATCTGATGCAGTCCCAGCACACAGTGAGGCTTTCGGGTCTTAGAGCCTCCGATGGGCGGAAGGCAACTATTGTGTCTGAAATCTGCTGGAAACAGGTCAAATCTGTGCAGGATTGAAGCGGTGAGCACAAGAATCACAGCGGACTAGAAGAGCTAACGGGGTTTGCAAATCCTGATCTGATGTGTGTGTCCAACATGTGTCCAACAGACAGACCAACCAAAAGATGAGCTCTCCCTCTCCCGGTTCGGTGAAATGGTTCGTGCTTAGCTCAGATAGAAGCTGATGTGATGAAGAGGACAGCTGAGTGAGTGATTGAGGTACGGACGCACGAGGTTCCTAACAGACTCTGCAGATCTGGCCTGTCTCTGTCAATTATATAGAATCAAATACATATAACTCAATAGAAACCAAGTCGAAGAGGAATGTTGTAACTGTTCAGATTCCAAGCATGCAGAATTATAGATGAACTGATCGAAGCTAGAAACATAAGCTATTGAATTAATTCCGCCGGTTTCACCCACCAGTATATGAAAGAAGAAAAATTCTGTTTGGACGTTTGAGCCTGTAAATTACAAATCTGCAAATGACGTCTGTCCTGTCAAGTCGGTATGCCTCAGTTTCTCGAATTTGATTTTCCAAGTAAACAAAGTAGTACAAACCTGTGAAAGCACAAATTTCGTTGTCGCTACTCTAGATAAAAGCTCGAGGGAACAGAGGCAGACGACATACATGCAACGTAGGATCGCAAGCCTGCAAGAAGACTTGAATGGGATGACTTTCCACTTCGTAAAAGGTGTTGATTATCACACCGTTTACTTTCGACAAATCCAGTCCCGCTTCCACTGTCACTGAGACAGGGTTTATTTTGGTGGAATTTGGCAGCTCTATGTCCAAAAGAGGTGGAAGACCAGGGACGGTGATAGTCTGTTTGCTTTTGATGAATTTGCCATTCTCTCCCACTCTAAACCTTCGTTCCGAAATGAGAGCCGGAAACGCTTGAAGAAGACGAGCGAAATTTGCACCACTAGGGAAATACGCGTAACATGGTAGATTCTGTTCCTGTGAAAGTTTCTGTACAATGAACATTCCTCCCGTGTCAGATATTCTACTTATTTCCCAATTTTGATGTGTAGTGTATTGAGATGGTATGATCACTAGCCCAATTCTCCCTCCCTATGTTAAACCTGACTATTGTATCGAAATTCTCTCATACGCAAGTGTGGATTCTCATTTTTTTTCCCAATTTTGATATGTATTCTGCTGAGATGGTATAATCAGTAGCCCAATTCTCCCTCTCTGTGTTAAACCTGACTATCGAAACGAAATTCTCTCATACACAAGTGCGGATTCTTTCTTTCTTCAAAATTTTGATGTGTATTTTATCGAGATGCCATCGAATAGAATCTGAGAACTAGCAAAAGAAGGTTCGTCACAAACACAAAAACATCTACAATAGAGAAGCCTTTCCCAAAACTGTTTCGGCCTAGAAATCAGAGAAATCCGAGCAGACGACAAATCAATCTCTACGTCTGGCGAAATAGGGCGAGAAGGACAACACGCCTGGGGAAGAGTGTAGATAGTCATATGTACCTGAGCCCAAAGACAGAACATGTCTGCTATGACGCATGTGGGTAGGCCGGCAGCTCCTGAGGATCTTGCAGAGGCCATATTTTGCAAGTAAGGTTTTGCAGCTCGCATCACGTCGTACGAGTCCTTAAATGGTCTGCTCCAGTCTTCATGCAACTCACGTTCCGACTCATCGTGGTCCATAATGGTCGAGACTTTCCAGCGCTTCGGGCGCATGAAGCGAGTGTATGTGTGGCAGCATGTTCGGTCCGTGAAGATTGTGACAGTGATGTCTTGCTTGGCGAGCTTGGCTGACAGCAACAAGGCCGAAGTGACATGCGAAACCGAGATTATACTCAAAGGGATAACTAGTACGTGCGCACGCAACGAGCTCTCCCGGATCTGGATCTGTTCTTCATATGCGAAACCGAGATCATACTCAAAGGGAGAACTAGTAAGTGCGCACGCAACGAGCTCTCCCGGATCTGGATCTGTTCTTCATCTGCGGGCGAATTGCCCGCATCCGAAATTCCTCCCTCCATCACTTTCGATTGCTATCCATTCACGTACCTCTTTCAAAGTTTCACCTTGTGGGGTTGGATTCAGAAGATGAATTTCGGCTCCCGATCTGCAACATGGGCGATTTCTCCTGCACCGGATTTCGACAATCGCATTCTCAACCAGCTCATGCTTCTATAATGTCCCCAGCCGAGCTGAGAACTGCAGGATAAAAAATTTGCTCGAACGCAGAGTCGTCATCAGGATCTATTTCGTGAAACTGGAGTTTTGAGTCGACTGTATCCAAGAATTCGAAATTGTTTCACGAATCTGTCTCTCCGTTGATTTCGTTGGATTGTTTGTCTTCGTAAGTTTGCTGAGGAGTCGGAATTTTAGAAAAATCAATTTCACCGCCACAGGTTTGCTGACATGCTCGGACTCGCTCGACTCAGGGGCCACGTTGGAGCTTCTGTAGCCGTCCAGGAGGTGCAGACGGAGATAAAAGCGAGCACGAGATCTTGCTGATGAAACTGCAGCCCCGACCCACCCGGACAGTCTAACTCAGGGTTGACGGCGTACGGTCATCGCCTTGTGTTGCAACCTAGGCAGGCGGTAGACGGAGGGAGTGATTTACAATTTGTTAAACAATCATAACAAATTATCTGCTTTTTTTTAAACTGCTGTCAAGTGTGATAGAACCTGTGATTTAATCAATTGCAGCGTGGTTGTCTGCTGTAAATTTCATAAGCAAGGGAGATTATTAAAAAAGCATTCATCTCTAAACTGCAGTAGTAGAGGTCCATAAGTTCTTACATATGCCCACGCTGAGATCGGGTACGAGAGATTATTCCTTAGTACACATTTTGCGACATTTTGCTCGCTCAAGCTCGTCAATTGCTTGGAATGGGCTTGCCTAGCAAGATGGTGCAGATTGGCAGAAACGGAAGCAGATCTGTTTCTGGTGGCAAGATGTGGTGAGGTTTGAACAGGTGACATAATATTCACTCTGTCATCTGAGCACCACGAACTCAGCATGCTTTATCTGTAATGAGGTTCATTCATTTTAGCTTTGCGAATTTAACAGAATCTTTTGGTCCGCCATGGACTCTCAGAAAGTCGAAACCCGAAAATGTGATGAAGATTCGAAAGAGGTTTTAGTTTCCAATATAGCACTTCGAGGAAATCTCTTATTCAGCACTGCCCACTTCAATAAGTTGCAGGATGTAACCCATCACCACTTATTGCAGCAATTCATCGACAATGATTTCATTGTAGACATGGGCAAGGATCTGAGAAAGTGGATAATGGGAAACATACACGTCTTATGACAGGGTCGGGACTATAGCGACTTTCCTGAAACCCATCCTGGTAGACTCGAAAGCAACTGCAGTTTAAAGGAAGTATTGTTCAGGCGAAGCTAATGCCGTGAATTGCAACTGCAGCCGAATTGGAGCACGGAAGAAATGTCGGTTTAGGGTAGAGTTAGGTTGACTCCCAGTTGTCGTCGAAAAATGTAGCTTATTATCCGAAATATGTATCGTAAAGTATTATCGGATGCCAAGCTGTCTTCCCGATGTCCATTTCGCCTTTCTTTTTCAGTTTTTGTGTAACGATTTTGAATGTATCGTCAAGGGTTTTTTATCGTCTACATAGAGCGTCTTCAAGGTGAAGCTGGTGTCACTTCCCGGTTCTACTCTGCTGGCACGAAAACATCCAGATGTGATAGTGTTTGATTCATGCAGACAGATTATCGATTTTGAAGGTCTGGTCCATCTTCTTGGCATCAATTCGGCTCGGAAACACCGAGCTTCACGAAACCAGGGACGTTAGCTAAGCAGATTCACCGAGGCAATATTAGTGCGATGGATGACATTTTTTCTGTTCATTTGAGTTATGTCACTCTCAGTAGCTTTCGAAATTTACTGCAAAGTATTAAAAAGTCTAAGATTTTTCACTTATCATTAGTTTCTTTTTGATATAGATATTTCATATTTTCCTTCCGTTAATGCCCCTAACATAGCTCCAGTATATGGTTAGAATCATCTCTTTATGGATCAACTAATATGGAAAGAAAAATTTGTTGCATTGTATTGGATGCTTACAATTCTCGGGATACACATTAGTCTGCGAACTACTGACTACGGAACTAATCCAACTTAAGAATAATTGAAATGCCCTACAAATGTCCTTGGTTCTGGAACTAGCTAATCATAGAGGTGTTTTGATGGAAACGTTCACTCAGAGGTTTCTCAGCGTCTGGCAAAGAACGCGCAGCATCAGCTGTAGACTGCCTGAGGCCTGGAGCTGGTAAAATGTGGACTATCGGCATCGAATGGAAATTCCTCGCCCAAGTGTTTGTAAATGATGAAATGAGGCTTCGGGTGAATCACAGAAGATTATTAATTAGAGTTATTGACTTCTCAAATTCTCAAATTTAGAATTGAGAATCATTTTTTTGAATGCTATCATAAGGCAAAGTATTTTCATGTTAAGCATTGGCCAGATTTTTAAATTTGATAGTTAGATATAGTTTCTTTTATTTGGAGGTCACCATCTAATCCACATATAGGATTATCCAAATCCAAAATTTCATATCATTATTGTTGCAGGTTATTCTTGATCTCTACCATACATCAACAAGTATGATGAGAAAGTTCTCAAAGATACTTGCCTGCTAATCAAATATTTCATGGGCGACTATACCGACTTTGAGGTGATACAATCTACAGTTAATATGTCTCAAGATGTGTAACAAGAAAATAACAGGGTCTTGTTATCTTTTATCTTACTACTTTTATCTTATTATGAATATTTATCCTAAGAGCCTTTAACAAATAAGATTAGTCACGTTGGACAATATATTTTCCTCGTACAATGACTGTAATCAGTAATGGGTTGGCCACTACTTCCTAAGTCCACATAGATATTGGCGTAGTATGTGAATATTGGTAAATAAAGGATCTTGATCATCACTTCAATATTTGATGGATTTCAAAAATATGAATGAAGGATTATGTTAACCATGCATTCTCATATATTCAAATTTAGTTTCTCATTGACTGTGAGTGTCTCAATGCTATCTGTGTTTTTGAATCGAAATCTGTGTATATTTATGAAAAAAGCATATTCTGTTCAACATTAGTTTGTTGAATCAATGATCAATATAGTATTTGAAGATGATTTAGCTCATCACTGCAATGTAGAATGATTGTGAATGACAAAAAATCTGAACGAATGTGGAACTCCAAATTAGAGCCGAGTCGTTGGCTTGATTTTACTGGAATCTTCTTCTTCGGGTTTTAGGGAAAAACATTGAATCTTATTCTTCTATTTACCTTCTATATTTAGTCTCACTTTTATTCTTATTTTGATGGTTTCTTCCTTGAAAAGGATTTATCAAGAGAAATACTTAGAGAACTTGCACGTGTTCTCACAAATCTTGTCTAGAGGATCCCAAGTCTAGTCTCTTTTGGGACCTGATCTGCATCATGCAGTGGTGGTTTCCCACAAACGTTTTCCTCCTCCAGAGAATGGGAGACACTCGAGACACAAGGTGTTGGAATCTTGACATTATGTTTGTCAACACCTTGGAGATCCGATTTTTTTGCATGCCTCAAGCCTTGGTTCTTATTCCCACCAGCCTCATGGATTTGGACCAACCTTGCACCGTTATTCACTTTAGATGCATCATTTCCTTCCATGACTCTACCTTTCCATCAGAAGGTGGATGACATGTTGGACCCATACAGGCCCTCTTTGCCGGTTGTTCAAGATGCGAATGCGGTTTTCTCTAAGAAAATGCCACAAGTACCTGAATCTAATGCTGTTTGAGATCAAGATGCGTTGCCTCTAAAGTTAAGGAATCAATTGCGCATAAGAACTGCCACATGAATACCTCAAATGCACATAAAAGAATACTGATAACGCTTCTCAGAAGTTCTTGCTAAATATGCAGGTCATGTTCTAGTTATGGCACCTAACTTGAGATCATACTTCATCTTGACTGATAAGTTACCATTCGGGCACCTCTTACTACTCGAGTAAAATCCACGCACTAGCTTCATTTCAGTTCAGAATTTATATTCTGGTCTGCTATTAGATTGTCCAGATATGTGGCAGAACAATGCGATGTCAGTCGAATTGTGTATTTCAGCTCAATAATGTAATTCCAACTTCTGGTTCAAACTTTCATTCCCTGGTTTGAGATCAATTTGAGCTGTTTTCTTTCTCATAATGCTAGTTTAAAATTTGACTTCATCCAGCTGTAAGGACAAGAATTAGATTGTAAAGAAGAAGCAGTAAGATGACCAAGATGATTTAAATGACCATAATACCGCCTGCGCAATACCCTACCCACAAAGTTGAGGACTGACATCAATGCATCGTAATCGTAAAATGTGATAATAGCTCCACTGTGGAGTATTTGACATCGGAACTAGCAGCACACCCAAGCTCTTCTACTCCCTTACAGTTATCTTTGTGATGCATGAATTGGGTTACGCGAATATATCTTGCTTAGCAATCTTGCGTATGGCTTGGCCCAGTATAAATTTGCAAATGTATGAATTGGACATCTATGCAAGTTAGACTGATATTTTGACAAGTATATATTGCAACAGTGCTAGGTGACACATGCACCTGCAGGGTTCAAGTCAACGATCCTGCATCCAGTCATAACTGCCGACCAAGCGCGGTTTGCAGTTACTCTGAATTGCATCAGATAGTCGGTGTGTTTCAAAAACTACTCTTGCTTGTTGAATTTTATATCTGCATGATTTTCATCGATGGATTCAAAACGATCCAAAGGATCAACGAGTCCTGAACTTCAGTCTACCATATGGTTTTGAGGCTCAAGTTATCTATACATTCGGCAATACTTTTGTTTCAAGTATCTCTTTTTGTTCTAAATCTACTACTTTAAAAAAATAACTACTATGACACATTGTCACATCTACATATGTGACTCTTGTCTAATATTATAAGACAATCAAACGGAGGTTTTGACACTCCTATCTTGTGATGGTAGAGGAAATACAATAGCAACAGACTTTTTGTGATTGTTTATATAACACTTTCTTACTTTTAGCTGAATGAACTATTCCAACTATTAACACTAATTTTCTCGATTTTTTTAATCATGAAATGCACAAGAGTTTTCT